ACTAAACAAAAAATAATTTCAGATTTATTGTTATACTTTTACTTTCATAATGTTGTCACACAAATAAACAAACAATGTGCAGCAGTTACACAACAGAAAACTCTGTGCACCCTCACTTGCAGCAGCATTCATTACACGTAAAAAAAAAGACCTGGAGAATTTCTAACTAAGCTATATGCTAACAATGACTTGCTATTCTGCAATTCATGAAGCATAATTTTGAAAACTTCATCACATAATTCCAACAGGAGTGCATAGGTTATACAACTTGCCTCTCTTACTTCACATAAAGATCTGAAGTTCTGAGCATAGGTTATATAACTTTTCAACATTGCCTCTCTTACTTTACATAAAGATCTGAAGTTCTGAGCACAGCTTATTATTTCTCTCTATGAGGGCAAAATGATTTTAATGTTAAGGTTAAAAATACTTTTATTCATTTTTCAGTTTTCAAATTTCATTTACATAACCTCCTAAATGGATATCAAATGTTTTTTTACAGTAAAACTTTATACCTTATTATTTTCTCTACACTAACTCTATATAGACTCGGCTAATTTGACCGACTTTGTTATATATGAAATAAGTCTAAATAACCCTTTTTTCCTTTTTACAATGACTGCTGATTGTAACAGAAAACTACAATTGTATATTCTAAAATGCTTAAGGCTTGTAACAGTTTCTACTTATTACCCTTACATGAAGTATTAAAACAACTGTAAATCAGTCTTTTCACTTTTACAAATATTTTTCTTGTTTGAAGTGGACGAAAATAAAACTTAAAAAATTAAATGTGCAAAAAATATTTATGAACTTACTGAAAGAAATATGTCATAAACTTTACTTAAAACTAAACGTGATGTTTTCTTCCACTTCTGGCTTAAAAACATTTGTGTTTTGAAAAACATGATACTAGTTCTTGTATTTCTGATTATTTGTAATTCTTCAACTTTCACACTACCACTCCTGATGAAATGCCATCAGTGGAAAAATCTTAAATAACTGATGGTGAGTTCCAGTATTACTTACCAAATGCTTGCAGTTATGTTTTTGGAAGTCTACAGACAGTGACCACGAGTTCCAGCTCAATTTCTCAAACTTAAGTTATACATGTGACATTCTGTCTATATGTTAGTCACAGAACAAATATTGTATCATCAACTCGCATTTAGTTTGCAATTACTTGTAAATTATTGTAAGTGGATGTAGTGATTTATCATGGATTATAGCCTCAAATGCAGCATTCTCAAAACTGAATTTGACTGACAAAAAATAAAATAAAAAAAGATACTTCATACCATTAATTTCAGCATCAGTACATATGTATTTACTTTGTCCATAAATGGGAAATTTTAAGGGATCATAAACCTGAAGTGTAAAAGCATATACTGAAACAAAAAGAAATCTGTCACCTCAATACTGAAGTGTGGGATCTAATCTGTTGTTTTGATAACAAAGTCCATAGTACATATATATATAAATCCAAATACAACAGTTTCTTCTTTCCAAATTGTTTGATTTTCTAAGTTACAAAAACAACACTTTTAGTTGAGGAAATGCTTTATTTACACCTGCAAATCAGTTCCTGGAATCAGAATAATGTGAATTTGATCTTTTAAGGTCTGATGTGCAACACAGCCAGTGATGAAACAAAAGGGGACTGACTTAAACATGCTATTTCATTTTATAAAACAAGGATACTTAAAAAGAGCTTCATTGACTATGACTTGGTTGTTGCAGGTTTCTATACAGCTACTAACACAAGCAATGTATAATAAGTTTTTTTTCTTCATCCTTATCATGCTTGTGTTTTGAGTCTACATCACATAAAACATGGTCAAAACAAAATAATTAGAGAATGTAATCTTCAAAAGAAACCTCCTCTCATTTCTATTCACTTTTACACCATTTCTGGTATCAACTTGGAGACAATCCCAAGGAAAAGCATCAGCAATGACTTTTGGGTTTTAGAAGTAGAAATGTTAGTGCTTACCAAGATTCATTTCATATTTTGCTCTGAAAGTTATGTTTTATAAAATATTTTTGTTTATTCTCATATCACATCAAAATATTATTAACCTAAATATACTCTCTTGTAAGTATAGTGACTCTACCCTATAATGTCCATAAGTGCCATCTTTTGGTTTACAGGGATATTAGATATATGATTCTTTTATACTGTAGTTTCAAGGGAAGAGGTAGAGATTTTATTGCTTTGGCCAGTTATGTATTTGTTTGTTTTAGAGCAAAGCACATTGGGCTATCTGCTGTATCCACTGTGGGAAATCAAATCCCAGATTTTAGCATTGTAAGTCCATAGATTTACTGCTGTCCCACTGATAATAAAAACTATAGCAGCAAGTCATAAAATGTTTACTGAAACATGCAGCTTAAATATGAGAAATGCATTGCTGATACATCATAACAGCTTTAACAGTCTCACTCTGGCTATCCTTTACTATGCATGTCATAAGGTTTTAGTGACTTACATTCAAATGTTAATGAAACTACTTTTGTTTATGTTATACCAAATACTATAGCATAAAATCATAGCTTATAATCCATATTTTAAGAGTAATCAAGTTTTAATTCTTAATTTTATAAGGTAATATTTAAAAAACATCCTGAATTTCCCCTAGTGTGAGAAAAGTGACATTTTCTCTAGGCATTCCCTCTTCTCTATTTTATTCACCACCCCTCTAATAAGTACAAAATTGAACGTAAATTACTCGCTATAAAAGCCATTGCTCAGACAAACCATAATTTGTATAGCCTTCAATCTTGTTTGGTTATTGAGCTATCAAATAGAAAATCAGAACCCTCTTACCATACCCTCATCTGTCACATCCTATCTTTTAGGATTTGTTAATAATTTTCTCTTACGCAATATTCTATCAAATGACATATATTACATTGTTTTCTGAACAGAGAATTGTTAATCTCTCAGTTAATACAAGCTTCATTCTCATGGGAAAGATAATGACTAGCTTGGATGAATTTGTAAGGGTTTTTGCCACATAGTTAGTAAGCAAGAAAAATTGTGATAGTTATGGGAACTTGTCTGCTTTTTGCATATTATTATTCTCTAATTCATATTATAAAAGTAACTAATACATAAAAATAGGAAACTATTTATGTTTAATGTTAGATTAGGTGAAATAAATAATGATAATAATATGATAATTTTTTCATGAGGTACTGTGTTCTTTGGTGCATTATTTAATTAAATAAAAAATTATTTCTTGCAGTAGAATCACTAGTATTAAAAAAAAGTTTGGTTAGGTGTCATCAACAGCAAAGAAAAAGAAAAAAAGAAGACGATCCAGATAAGTATATTATTCCTTGTTTATTATTTATTTATTATTAGAAAAGTAACTAAAATGTAAAAATAGGGATATCTTTAAATTATATAAGGTGAAGTAAATAGTAATAATAAAATAAAAATGTTTCACAAGGCATGTTAGCAAGCAGATGATGGGTAATGTAATTGAAAAGTGTAACGTGAGCTGCACGTTCCCGAAATAATTTACAACTGATGATGGCATGAATAGTAGATATGGTTCAAAGAGCAATAAAATTTAAGTAAACATACGTATACTGTTACAAATTTAAAGCTACTTTGGATAAATGAAAGTAGTTTCCTGTTACAATTTGAAATCATTCTAGAAAAAAACTAGTAATTTAGATATATTTTGATAGTTACAAGGTCAAATAGAGTTAGGGTAGAGAAAATATAAAGTTTTACTGAAAACAAACATATGAAATGTATCTAGAAGGGTTTAGAAATTACTCAAATGAAATTTGAGATTTTTGAGATGAAAAGTATTTTTAATCTTAAGATGAAAATCACTTTGTATGCAGACTAATAAAAAAAAAAGAAAATACTCTATATATACACAGACAAATCTTTTTTTTTAGTTTATTAAAAATACTTCACTAAAAATATGATTATTGTATATGAAAGACTTATGTTTACTGAAAGTCTACCAAATTTTGTGAAGATATACAAACTACATTAAAAGTTAACAGTATCAAAATTATAAAAACTTTAAATAAACAAGTAAAAAGGGATCTAGTGCATGTTGAGAGAGTTAATGCATATTATAATAGTTGCTTTCATTTTTTTTGATAAATTAACTTTAGTTTTTTACTGTATAAATCAAATTGTTCATGTGAAGTTTTACAACTACGTTAGTAAGATCTTTTAAGTATTTTTCTTAACAAAATATTTGCTGTTGAGAAGAAAATTATTTTGTTTGTTTGTGTTCAGATGCAAAGCTACACAACGGGGCTCTGTCTGCTGTGCTGAAATATCAATCCCCAATTTCTAGTGTATAATCCCTTGCACTTTAATACCAATGAGCCATCATGGGACAGAAAATAATTTAAGTTATAGAAAAATTCTGCAGACCCCTCATTTTGAAACATATACTATTGATTTAATCAAATCACTCCCAACCAAAAATAAATAAAATGGATATGCTAATAAAACTTTATAATCTCTACACAGAAATAAAATGTTTGGTTTAGAATGGTTAAACTTTTGATACACTAATTTACAGCACATAAAAAGGGATTGCCAAGACTAATTTACTGTTTACGAAACAGTCTATTAAATCTTCTCAAAGTAGCTGAAGTAGAAAAATTCGAGTATCTGAATTGAAATATTATTGACACAAGTCTCTTAGGGCATGACCTTCGCAGTAACTGTTTTGAAATGAAATAAGTGGAATTATAATATGACCAGCTCCAGAAAAAAGGCAATGCTTTCATTTCTATGAACTTTTATCTAATATTTGGGGTTATTATTGGAATAAATATTAATTTTCTTTTTTTGAAACACTTAGTTGAAACTGAATGTAAGTCAATAGAGAATTATAACAAATGTTTTTAAAATGAACAAAACACTTATAATGATATTTGCAAGTGATGTATCACTTGCAAGAAAAATTACAAACAAATGGTCCTGTCTAACCATGTGAGTTACAAGAGATTCTCACCTCAGCCATATCCCAACTTGAAGCTTTCTTTTTAGCAGGAGTCGAAGGAGTTTCATCACCAGCTTGTTGATCCCAGCGTCTTCGTTTGGCTACATGTGCAATAAATCACCATTACAGCAATTTTACCAAACAAGTCTATTACATTTCTTTTAAAAAACAATAAAATTAGAAATCAGAAATTAAGGTCTGCATAAAAATGACAAGAAAATATATTTGTACTAAGTAATTTATTTGGACTATCACCACGTTTTTAAATGATAGTCCAAATAAATTACTTAATACAAATATGAGTACTCAAGTTAAAAGCCTGAAAAGTAACATAAGAAAATATATTAATTACCAATCAGAAATATTAATTTAAGTTGTGACAGGACTATATTCCTGAAATTAATAATCCAGACTTATAAAGAGTACAAAATTGTCCGAAAGATATAAGTATTAGAAAAAAAAAAAGAGCTTAGGTCCTGTCCATGGCAATTCTTAGAATCACATACAAACAGGATTCTGCTGTGCTCTGCCAACATGTACACTGATTGGTCACAAGTAAATAGACACCTAAATTTTCGTCATTTAACTGATTTATGCTAACTAATTTGTGTTCACAGAGCACTATATAAATGAAAATGGTCCGCACACTAATTATCTTGTGCTACAACATGGCTAGAACTCAAGGTTCTCTCGAATTGTTAGATTTTGTTAGAGGAAGGATAGTTGGTCAAGCAGATGGTGGAATAAGTCAGTGGCAAATTTCGCAGAATTTGGGAATCCCGCTTTTGACAGTCAACAGAATCATCGTGCAGTTCAGGAAACACAGCAAGGAAACAACTGAGCAGCGTCCGGGTCCATCGGAGAGGACAAAAAGGGCTGTCTAGAGCAGCATCGAAATGGATTCCAGATTAACGATTGCAGAAGTGGCCAAAGTTGGTGAGATGAGCCCGAAATCTGTTCAACAGATCCTCCACAGATTGGGTTATTGTTGCAGAGCAGCTAGACAGAAGCCCATATTAAGACCTGCCAACATAGTCAGACGAAAGAAGTGGGCAAGTGATATGATGACCAAGCCTCTGGACTTTTGGAAGACCATATTGTTCTCAGACGAATCAAGATTTGCCCAATTCTCGGAAAGTGGAAGGATATGGGTCTGGAGAATGCCTCACCAAGAGTTTTGTCTCAACAGATTGCAGTCAACTGTGAAGCATGGTGGTTTCAGCATGATGGTTTGGGGAGCTGTTTGGGTTGGTGGGAGATCGAGCTTAGTGGAGTGCGTTGGCAACCTAAATTTTGCTCCTTCCTCCAATATTTCGACGTATTTCGCCTCTTGCCACTTTATTCCTCGGGTTTCGTGGACAAGAACACAACGTTGTTCCAGGAAGATGGAGCACCGTGTCACACTGCTAGAAACACCCAAAAGTGGCAGGAAGAAAATGGTATCCAGAAGTTGCCCTGGCCGAGCCAATCTCCTGACATGAACCCCATCGAAAACCTCTGGGGCATACTCGACCGGCAAGTCAAGAAACAACCAAAAAAACCAACTTCGAAGAGCGATCTACTCCAAGTTTTGAAGCAAGAGTGGGCGAAAATCCCACAATCTAAAATTGACGAGATGATTTTAACGATGCCTCAAAGGATCAACGAACTCCACGAAGCGAAAGGAAGATCTACTAGATATTAATTAAATTATAAATATATCAATTCATGTGAATATGACTGAAAAATTTCATTTTTTCTGAAAAGGTGGTGTCTATTTATTTGTGACCACACTGTGTATATTATTATGTATATCATATAAGTGAATTTGTGCTGTTTAAGAAGTGTTTATATAATGAACTTGTTTTTTAATTACCATTTAGACTTGGTACAGTTCTGTTGTTAAATGGTAGACAAATTTTCATTTCAATGTAAAAACTACACTAATTTACTAATCACGATATCATCCAGTAATTTATGGCATTTTATCATCCAGCCAGAAGTTCGGTTATGGCAGTTCAAGCCACATCAGAATTCAACCAGAAGTTCAGTCACTGCAATACATAATATTTCATCATTCAGCTAGGAGTTTGGTTACAGTAGTTCATCGTTCATTCAGAAGTTCAGTCACTGCAATACATAATATTTCATCATTCAGCTAGGAGTTTGGTTACAGCAGTTTATGTCTTTTCATCGTTCATTCAGGAGTGCAGTCACTGCGATACATAATATTTCATCATTCAGCTAGGAGTTTGGTTATAGCAGTTTATGTCTCTTTATCGTTCATTCAATAGTGCAGTCACTGCAATACATAATATTTCATCATTCAGCTAGGAGTTTGGTTACAGCAGTTTATGTCTCTTCATCGTTCATTCAGAAGTTCAGTCACTGCAATACATAATATTTCATCATTCAGCTAGGAGTTTGGTTACAGCAGTTTATGTCTCTTCATCGTTCATTCAGGAGTGCAGCCACTGCAATACATAATATTTCATCATTCAGCTAGGAGTTTGGTTACAGCAGTTTATGTCTCTTCATCGTTC